GTGGTGATCATTTCACAGTACATACAGACACCAAATCAGTAATGTTGTCCACCTCAACCTTATACAATGTTATCTGACAATTGTATCTCAGTAAACCTGGGGAAAGAGCAGGACAGCAGGGGCAGGAAGCCGAGGGGGCGGTGGCAGAGGAGGGTGCCCGAGGCCGAGGCCCGTCTCCAGCACTAACCTGCCGGGTGCTCTGCAGGAGGCTCTGGGCCTCTGGGGCCCCCTGTTCTTCATCGGTAACGTCCCCGCTCCCTCCCAGCACTGCTGTCCCCGAGGGGTGAGGCTGCTCAGGCCAAGGTGATGGAGGGTACGAAGGGTCTGGTCAGACGACCCTGACCCTCTCGGGCCTCATGGTGCACTTCACTGAGCGGTCAGAGGGCTCTGGCAGAAATGGCCTCCTTCCCAAGGGACTGAAGTTGGTTTACTAGATGGGGCCACTTTAACCTCTGACATGGCCGGTTAAACTCTCAGTTCTTTGAGGAAAAGCAAAACTATCGATCCAAGTTTATGACAATGTCAGCGACGGGGTTAATGAATCCTGAACACAGAGTGAATCACCATCGTCTGCCCAGGGTAGAAACTTCAGGATCATTCTAGACCTTTCCCTGCTTCAGTCCCATAATGGTGACTGCAGCTGGCATGTCCTCAGCCTTCCTCGGTCTGGGTTGACCTGACCCAAGTCCTTGAATCCTCCAGCAGCCCACGAGGCAGGATGGCTGTTCCCGCTCTGCAGGCGAGGGAGCTGAACTGAGAGAGGCGCACACTCGGGCGGCTCAGGGGTCCGCAGAGTCCCCTCCACTGGCTCTCAGTTCCCCAGCATCTGGTCAAGTCTGTCCCCTCCCCAGCCCAGCCTGTCTGCCTGTCCCGTTGCTGCTGCTGCCCAGACCCACAGCGTCGCTCACCTGGCCAGCTGCCACCGTCCCACAGGTAGTCCCCACAGGTGCCCCTGGGTACATGCCAGGCTGCGGCCTCACCTTCAGGGCTCCTGGGCCTCTTAACCTCCTGAGCCCTCCCCTCCCCAACTGCCTGTCTGGGTCACTCCCCACTCTGCCTAGGAAAGCCCTCCTGCCTTCTCTGCCTGGCAAAGTCCCTCATGCCAGACACTCATCCCAGGAGGGTGGGCTCCTGGCTGGGTTTTCCCGACACCCTTTCTGTGTCATTTGGAAACTTCAATATTGTCTCTCAGTGTTGTCAGTGTTGTGGACATGAAGGGCTTGCTTGGCATGTCTGTGCCCCCTGCTCTCAGAGGCACAGAGACCCCGTCACAGTGAGAGGTGGCACATGACAGGTAACTTCAGTGCACTGTAACCAGACCCCTGGAAATCACCCTTACTTGCTGTGTGACCTAGGGTGAATCATTGAACCTCTCTGGGCCTCTGATTCCTCATCTGAATGCTACCCACCCTGCATGGCTGTCACAGGGGTTGAGTGAAGAAGTACAGCACCCCAGCAGCCCCGGGCACCCAGTGCTGTTGGGGGTCCCCTCCCAAGTGTCGGCCTCCTTGCAGGCTCTCACAGAAAGTGTGTGGGCTGAGGGAAGTCCTGGAAGCTGAGTGCTCTGAGTGGACCTCACCTCTCAGGGCCCATCTGTAGAGCCTGCACTGGGACTGTCCCCACGTTGCTGTGAGGGACGAAAGTGGTCCCAACCAGGAGCCCCAGGTCTGCCTGCAGCGCCCCTGCTTTTGGAGGCTGCCATGACTGGGGACGATGGGGACAGAACACAGGCCTCTGAGTCACAGAGAGTGGGGAAGTCACTGTAAATCTGTTTTTCCAAATCACATTATTTTAAATGCTTTGGGTGGATGCCCACGTGAGCAGGGACACTTGGCTGAGCCAGGGGGGCTTTGTCCCTTGAGAGGCCCCATTGTGATGTCGAGCCGGCCCCCAGTGATTCCCAAAACAGCAGGCCCTTGTGTGGGCCCCGCAGGCCTGCTCACTCCGCCCCCGGCTGGCGTGAGAACCCTCTGCTCCTCTGTAAGGTCAGCACAGGAGCCTTAAACCCCCATTCGGGCTGCTGCCGGGTTCTGATCAGAGATGCTTCTTAGAGTTTGGTTCTAGGATGTCGATGAAGCTCAGCTCCTGTAAACTGCGTCCTCCCCAGGAGAAGGGCAGGTCCAGTGGGACCAACTGTGAGCAGAACAGGGGCCAGGGGGCTGGTCCCAGAGGAGGACTGCATTTGGATGAAGCCCCTCCCAGGCCACCCTGCCCTGCCCTGGGAAGGCCACCAGGAGAATGCCCCCAGGAGGTGCCCCAGAGCCCCATGAACAAGGGGGCCCCAGCCACTGCAGTCACAGACGACAGCCTCCAACACGTCCCGGGTGGACGAGACCCACAGCTGCCTCTCGTTGTGGGCCCTCCCCTGACGCACACCCTCAACACATATTTGTAGGGACTGTGGTTTGTTCTGTCCCACAAGCTTTGGCTCCTGGTCACATCGGAGACATCAGCTTCTTCTTGATCCTTTCTCAGACCCATGGAGGCATTCAGCTCTTTGTTCCAGGAGCTTAAAAAACCCCAGTTCCTCACCATCTTTACAAAGCAGCAGCTGGTCTGGGTGGGCCTTTGGCTTTGTGGGGTTGCGAAGTGGAACTTGGCAGCCACCTGATCTGGCGTTTTCGTGGCTTTGCAGCTCAGAGCTGCCAGCCCCTTTCAATAAGGACCTCGACTCGGCCGCGTGGCCTGCTGCTGACCCTGCTAGTGGTCTAGAGCTGTCTGCCACTGAAGGCCCCTGCCCACTGGCATCAGGGCCACTACAAGTTCTCCTGTCACTGTCACTTCCTGGGAGGCTGGAGGACAGACCCATGTGAGGACAGGTCTGGGCTCCCTAGGGCTGTATGTGAGCACAGGGCCCCAGGGACAGAAGGAGCAGGCTAGAAATCCAGCTCTAGTTCTCTTCAGCTGAGTGAGTCTGTTTCCTCACCTGTAAAGGACAGTCATGGCATCCCCTGTGGTCACGGGGAGGATGACAGGAGGCTACAGAGATGTAAGGTGCATGCCCAGTGCCTGGGCCAGGCAAGAGCCCCAAGAACGGGAGGCAACGTGGTTACACAAGTGAGGACATGGGTCCTTGGGGCTGTCGTGTTTGGGTGTTGATGCTACCACACCTTTGGTCCAAGTCTGGGCCACCAAGCAGGCAACATGTACGGAATATCCCACCTGCCCTCGGAGTGGCATCAAGCTCTGCCCCAGAAGTTTCTTCTTACCCAAGCCCCAGAGGCAAAGAGGTGAGGCACGCTGGCCGCAAGAAGCTTTGGGGGCCAGACACCATCCTGCATCTCCAGGGACCAATGGTCCCAGCACACAGTAGGTGCTCAGTCACCCATTCTCCACAGTCTGAGACCTTTCAGCTATTGGCCAGCAGGCTTCTTAAATGCCCCTTCCCCAGGCATGTGGGCTTCCAGGAGAGCAGGGCCCCCAGCAGGAGGCCTGCCCATCAGCCCGCACTTGAACTTGCCAACACTCCCCAAGGAGCTGGATGCAGACAGAGCTGAGCAACGAGATGCGTGAGCAAGGGATCTGGACCAGAGTGCGTTAGGGGAGAAGGGTGGTCTGGGAGAAGGAAAAGCAAGACCAGGAGAGGGCATGTTTGAGGCTGACCATCCCATAATATCCAAGGAGAATAGGATGCAAATCAAACACCGACTGCAACTACAAATTTCATGACTCGGGATAGGAATAAGGAGAGAGTCCTGTCAGAGCATCATCTGCAAAGCCTTGGCTGTATAAGGAGTTTATCCTGAGACCAATTTGCAACTGAAAAAGAGGAAATAAAGACCATATCAGAGTTTCCTTAAAGAGAATGTGTAAAATTTTGAAACATTGAGAAACCCTTGGGAAATTCAACTAACCCTTTGGCTTCTATTATTCTGGATGAGGCTCAACAATGCGCCTCTGTCAGCATCATGGAGCTGGCTCTCTGGAATGCAATCAGGCATTTTTATTGAGAAACTGAGACTTCCCTCGATCAACACTTGATTGCAAATTTTGTTAAACATGTGAGAAACTTCCTATCATTTCTTAATTTGAACTTTAATTTTTGAGGATAAAGCCCCAATCAAACATTTTGCTTCTAATTTACAATGAAGTTTTTTAGTTAAATTTTGTTTTAAGGGAACTCACTAAAAGTGGCCCTTTTCTGGTATAATTATCCTGGAGATGCCACTGAGACCCAATTTAGTCATGGGGTCCCCAAGGTAGAAGGGAAGGAAAATTTCATCTAGTTAAACCTCCGCCTGAGGCTGGAAGCTTTGCCCTCGTGGCCCCGAGCCAGAGGTCAGCCAGCCCTGCCCATCCGCCTCCACGGCTGGGGGCTGACCAGTTTCTGAGGCTCCTGGTCTAGGGCCCCAGCTCTGGAACATCACGGATTCTTCGAGTGAAGGGATGAAGGAGCACTTCATGCCAGGAGCTGACTCTCAGGATTCCTCACTGAGTGTCCCCTTCCTATTATCTCCTCTCTCTCAACCCGGGCATCTCATCCCTGAAACGTGGTACTTGTCACCTCACTTCCTGTCACTCTGCAGTCTGGTCCTCTTTCTCCCCTAAGGAGTGGCCCAAGGAAATTCTAAAAATAGTTTATTATCCACATCACTAATTGGAACAGAACACACAGCCCACTGCCCAGAACATCTCTGATCAGCTTCAGAGTGAGAGGAAACTTCTGCACCTTGTTTTCTTGTGGCTTGAGGACTTTCTAATTGAGCACAGATCCCTTTGTCTTATAGGAAAAAGAAGGGACCCCCCCCCCCAAGGCTGGTACTTGGTGAATTGCCAGAGAGGTGGAGCCATCTGAGGCCCCTGGTAGCTGGGGAGGGTGGGAGACCGAGTGCCGGGCTCCCTGAGTGCAGTGGCCAAGCACACACAGCTGTCATCTGAACTGCCACTTGATGCCACCTCTAGAGATTCAGTCTAAGCCAAGGATTCCTCAGAAAGAAAGCTGGAAAGTTGGTCCTGATACTGGGGAATTAAAAGAAAAACAAGAAAACACCCCACAAAAGTATTAAACATAAAGGCACTTTATGAAGTGTTTCAAAGCTTTACCATCTTCCCCCATGGACATCTGCAAGTACTTATTGGGTGAATTTTATCCTTATGACAGGTAGAATCTTCATGAAGACTTAGAAACACGCCACCAGATGGGGGCTCAAAAGAGCCTGTGGAAGATTCCAGCAGAGAGTTCTCAAGATCCGGTCCAGGGCTCAGCAGGGGATCTTTGTTTCGTGGTCTCTCAGATCAGAGACCCCACACTCCACCCCACCTCCCCCTTTCACAAATAGAAGATGATCCTGAAAGACGGCTCAGTAGTTGGAGGTTAAACACAGCAGGTCCCTAACACTGACAGGAGGGACATGGGAGAGTCAGCATAACACCCACAAAACACACAGCATTGTTCTTCTTTTGGTTTCTTATTTCCACAGTCGAGAGCATTTCTGCATGCTGAAAGGTTATGCTGGAAGGCGGGCTGATCAGTTATCACAGTCTGGGTTTTCAGCTAAATCACCAGTCTGATGAAAGAAAGACATGCATGAAACATGTACAGCAGAGTGGCTAGGGCTGAAAACACCTGAAATCAAGAGAAATGACCATTAACAGGCAGGCATGGGAAGAGGGCAAGGCATGGGCTGTCCACACTGGGCCAGCCGCTCACATGGTGCTCTGGGATGACAGACCTGAAGTGTGTGGACCACTGCTTCCCATCACTCAGGCAGACATCCTTTCTTGCTGACCCAGATGTGGCCCTGAATGCTTTTGGCACAGAGCTCCAGGTGACCTCGTGAACCACTGGACGTGGCGTGCAAGGTCAACGATCTGCCATCTCACATTATCATGCTGGTGCCACCAACTGGAAATGGGGGTTCTCAGAGGCTCCTCAAATGATACTCAGGGGCGAGTACCAACTGCTCTCCGTGGGAAACTTGCTTCCTTCCCACCAGGAAGAGCCGGGTCCACCAGCTGTGAGCCCAGCGGCCTCGGTTGGAGAACATGAGCACAGGGTTTGCTGGCTCTGGTTAAGGTCTCGATGCTGCCTGGACATCCTCACACCCATCAGAATGTTATTCTAGGATCATAATCTCACAGACATGGGCAAGGAGCAAGGCTCACAGGACTGAGGGACAGGGACAGGGAGACAGGATTGTGAGATGCTGCAAAGGAGGGGCTTCCTGAGAAAGCTGCTGGGAAGATGCAGTCAGCTGTTTTGACGCTGGGAACAAAGGCCCTGGAAAGGTGGTGAACAGTCACCTGTGGCCTGTCAAGCCCCTGATGTGCTGTGCTCACTCGGCACCATCTTTTCCTAAAGGCCTGCTGCCCCCAAGTTCAATATCTGCACCTGGATCTGTGACCTGGGGTGTGGGGTCGGGAGTTGCCGACCAGGCACAACACTTAGGGCGGCTACCCATCCGTGACCCGTGAAAATGCCCACAGAGAGCAGCCATCACCGGGCCTGCCCTCTCCCACCCCACACAGGGCGAACCCTTCACCCTCATTGGCCAGAGGCGATGAGTAAGCCGAATATTTGATCGCACATTTGAGAGAGCTCATCCAGGAACTCTGAGGCAGCCCGGCTGAAAGGAGCGGTCACCACGGGTGAGCAGCCCCCCAAGAACACCTCAGCCTCTCAGGTCGGAGCATGTTACTGTCCGGGCAACTCCAGACCCAGCGAGAAACCTTGGCAGAGGAGCCTCAGAAGTCCCCACAGGAACAGGACACAGAGCTTATTTTCCAAGCGAGGGCAAGAAATGGCAGCTTGGGGACACGGACAGCAGGGACATGAAGGGACATCCTGAGGTTTTCTGAAACCCTTCTCCCTGAATGGCTGCCATTATTTCCCCCGACTGTTAGGATTCAGAAACCTGCAGATTTCTGCAGAAATTTCCAGCTTCCCTCAGTCGGCTCCCACCAACACCAGGGATCCCTTCAGTGCTGACACTCTGCTGTCAGCAAACAGGGGAGAAGCTCAGCTCCTGAGGCAGGTCCCAGTTAGGAGTCACAGAGGGCGAGAGGCAGGCCAGATGCTCCCAAAGGCCAGGGGTGTGAGGAGAAGGTCTTGAGATACCTCCCACAGCCCAGATGGGCCTCCCGAGACCACGGGAGGCCGTGTGATGGCTGGGCAGTGTCTGGGGTGAACCCTGAGTGACCAGGACTCCTTTCCCTGTGCACGGACACAGCTGATATTCTGAACAGAAAGGCGGGACTTCACATTGAACCGGGCTCGTGTTCCCCTTGATGGTTTCAGCCCAGCACCCATGCCTGCTGAGAACATCGTGATTCCTGGTTCTGGCACTCCTGACTCTGCCTGGGTGGGCTCACATTTCTCCAACTCAGCTAACAGATAGGGGGACACAATCAATTGTGGACTGGATAAAGAGCCCCTGGGAGAGTCATGAATGGAATACTCTACAGCAACGAGAAGAAACACCCTGCATCTCCACCCAACAGTGAGATGAGCCTCACAAACCTAAGGCGGAGAGAAAGAAGCCAGAGAGAAAAGACACAAAATGTGCAATTCCATTCACATGAAGTTCAAAAGCAGGAAAAATCGAGGGAGGCAGCTAGGAATCAGGCCCATGGTCATCCTTGGTGTGGGTGCACAGAGATGGCCACAGGACAGGAAGGGGGCGTCTGGGAGCTGTTTATGATGCTCTATTTCTTTCTTTCTTTTTTTTTTTTTTTGGTGAGGAAGATTGGTCCTGAGCTAACATCTGTTGCCAATCTTCCTATTTTTGCTTGAGGAAGATGTTCCCTGAGTTAACATCATTCTAATCCTCCTCTACTTTATATATGGGACATTGCCACAGCATGGCTTGATGAGTGGTGTGGTGGTCCGTGCCCGGGATTTGAACCTGTGAACTCCGGGCTGCTGAAGCAGAGTATGCAAACTTAACCACTATGCCACTAGGCCAGCCTCTATGATGTTATACTTTTTAATCTGGATGCTTGTTACACAGAGGAGTTCACTTTATAGAAATTCATCAAGCTGTGCACTTGCATCCTGCTAACTTCTCTGGATGTGTGTTGCATCCGATAAAAAGTAAAAGAAGTCGGAACATGGTAGAGCCCAGTGGTTCTCAGCTAGAGATCTGTCCAGCAGGCAGGGGCATTAATTCAGCCCATTCTGGTTGACGCACTAGCCACATTCCATCTGCATGTCATTACCATTGTCCACACTTATTTTATGGAAATTGTTGTCAAATGCCTTGCTGATGTCTGTTTGGAGAGAGGCTTCTGGGGTTGGGATGGGGAGAGGTACAAGGTTCTCTAGAGGAGGGGAGATGAAACAGAGTCATTTGAAGGATGGAGGAGGAGGTGTATGACCAGCCTCCCAAGGGAGAAAGAGCATCCTAGGGGCTGCCTGGCTTTGCTACTGTTTAGAAACCAGCCATCTTGGGAGATGAGCCAATATGGGAGACATTCCCAGACTGTGGGACATTTGAGCGGGTGGCAGGGACCATGAGGTGGCCACTTTGATGGACCTGGGGAGTGGGCTGGGAGCTTAAGAGAAGCATGTGGCCTTCCCGGGGCAGGGGACAGGCCCACAGGGACAGCAGGCAAGTCATTGAGGAACCTTCCCCAGAGCCCAACAGTGCCCACCCTGTGGGATTCTCTCAGCCTCTGCTCTGTCCTCTCCAAAATGTGGGGACAGCACAGCTTTGGCTCCTGGAGCTGACATCTTGTGATCTGTCATTACGCTTGACCTCGGGATTTCCATAATTCATATGTTGACCTCAGAAATCTGAGGAGGGCTATTTCTGAAACTTTTTCTTATATTTTAAACAATACCCATGGCTAGAAATACATTTGAAACTGTGAGTTAGCACATATGTGCAAGCCCACCATGCACAGCTCTGGAAAAACCTTTATGAAACAATACATTCTCCTACTCCTGTCATTCCAACACATTTCATTAAAAAGCAAATCCAGGTCATGGCCTCACATGCCCTCCCCTACCAGTGGTTCTGGCCCCGCAGTGGAGAACATTCCTTTTAGAGCTCAGAGACCTGCACACACCGTGCCCCCCAGTCACACACAGTTGGCCCCCGCATTTGTTCTGCTGACGGGGTGAATGAGGCTCAAGCCCTGTTCCCCCCAGGGCTCCTGTGAGGCCTCGGAAGGAAGCTGTTCAATATCCACAGTCCTCGAGGGGAAGGGACAGGAATCGCCGTCCCATTTCACAGAGGAGCAGGCCAAGGCTCAGGGAGCACAGGGGACATGCACGGGGAGCTGGAGGAGACGTGACCTCTGGCCCCTCCTCCTCCCACAGGTGCTCAGAGCTGTGGGGCAGGAGACACCGTCACGAGGAGCTGAGGCCTGATCGCACAGCAAACACCCACAGCTGGGGGTCTGGACTCGCTGGGCCCAGAAGGGCCTCCCCACAGCCCAGCCCAGAGCCAGGGCCTGGGGAGACCCCCGCCACTCGATTTTCACCCCAGGCCTCAGTCTCCCGCCCCTGACTGTGCTTCCATGGAAGACCGCTCAGGGGGCCAGGACACCCAGGGGCCAGACTCACTGCTCCAAGCTGGTGCTGAGGGTGGAGACAGGGCACCTGGCCTGACACCAGCCCCACCCATTCCCGGGGACCTTGAAGCACGTTATCCTGCTCGTGGTGCCCTGGTTCTCCATCTGTGAAATGGGGATGACACAGCGCCCACACCCCAGGGCTGCTGTGAGGGCTCAATACGATGGTTCACGGAGAGCTCGGACGGTGCCGGGCATCATTGGTCACGTCCTCACACATCTGCCCTCTGCAAAGCCCACCCAGGACCAGACCCTGGGCCAGCCCAGGCCTGGGCATTGCAGCCCTGACCGGGTGGAGAAGGGAGTCTTGGGCACGTCCCCTCCCTTCTCCGGGACTTGTGTCTTCATGATGAGGGGAAGGTCTATTCCATTCAAAAGTCAGTGAACTAAAAACAGAGGGGAGGGCTCGGGCAGCCTTCCGCTCAGACCCTGTCAGTGGGCGGAGGGAGCTGTGAGCACGGGCGGGTAGACGGGGGACTCACCGTAGCAACTAAGTTTTCATGGTAATGTTCCTGAGTGAAGTTCAAATCATGGTCCATGATGTTGGTGACTAAACCTTCCAGGACGACAGCGCTGAGGTAAAACAGGGCAGCAATACAGTGGTAGACGGCATCCTGCAGGGCCAGAAAGGGCGGTCAGAGAGACGGGGAGCCCAGACGTGAGGATGTGGGACAGCTATGGTCACAGCAAGATCTGTCCACCTTCCTGTCCCCACCTGGTGTGGCTCAGGTCCCTTGGTCACCTTCTGCTACTTCCCTTGACTCCCTGCCACCCCATCCACCATCAGCATATCCCCCAACCCCCTCCTCATAGAGCTCGTTGGTCCAGCTGAGTTTCATCTCGCTGGTTTGGGGGCAGAGTAAGGGCTTCAGTGGAGAAGGGACGCTGCTCTCCCTTGAGGGGGATCAAGTGAGGGGGCAGCTTGGGACTGAATAGGCAGAAGTTGGTTCTGGACTGAGAATGTCATACATGGTCACAGTCCTGGTTCTGATGTGGCCTCGGTGACCAATGTAGGGGAGAGAAGCCCAGGCCATTTCCATTGTTGTTTTCTTGTTGTTTGACGTTTGTTTTGGGGGGGCTGGGACAGGGGCCTCCAAGTATGTTTACAAGAAAAAAACTACTAGACTGGGTTTTGAGAAGATGTAATTTGGTGGTGGTTTCACAAGTGACAGTAGGAGACCTTTTGAGAGTGAGAGGCCCAGCCAAATGGCCCCACCCCTTCCAGGGGACATAAGGGACAGGGGTCCATGTGTAAGTTTCACCCTCTTCATGGGCCTCAAGGCAGAATTTATGCAGAACAGAGACCATGGGCCATCTCTGTCCCCCACCAACTCCCTCTCTGGTGACCCAGCTTTAGAAGCTGTGACATGGAGCTGGGCAGTAAGCATGGCCTCACACTGGGCAGCCAAGGCCAGCCCTCAGGACCCTGCTCCCAGGAGATGGGAACCAGCCCTCCCAGATGATGGGAGGTGCCAACAGGCCCCTGGCAGGCGCAGGTGAGATGCGAGGGGGGTTGGGCTGCTGGTTATTGATGAAAAAGGCAGTCATGCAGGAGGAAGCAGAGCAGATGGTGACAGTCAACGTCTGTCATCACCTTCTGCTAACCTCCTGGCTGCAGGGAGCCCTGGGCTGCTGTGCACAGCTCAGAGCTGAAGCCCTGGCCAGCTCAGCCTTGGAACATGGTGGGACACGTCTACAGGGCAGCCTCACCCAGCACTGAAAAAGCCAGCCTCCCAGGGGAGATGGTCCTACCCACCCCCCTCAAACATCCAGGGTTGGAACTCACGAGGATGTACCAGGAAATCTTCCTGTCATGGATGTTAATTATATACAGGAAGAGCAGGACAGTGGTGCCCACGAAGCAGAAGACGGACACGAACATCACCCAGCCCTGGGCCAGGGGGAGGGGCACCAGGGACGAGGCAATCAGGATCCACACGAGGCCCCCAAAGACCTGCAGAGGGAAGGGGGGCAGGGTGAGCATCGGACCGGGACAGCCCACGCCCAGGAAGGGCCACACCCAGAGGTCACGCTGGGGCACGAGGGGCAGAAAAACAGGAAAGAGGCAGAGAACAGCTGGGGACATTTCCTCACCAAAAACAGCTCTTTCATACCCAAAAGATTAGAGACTGGATCACCAATCTCAGTCTTTCCCAATCCTCTGCTTGCTTACCTTTATTCACCTTTTAAATATAATTTTAATTTTTAATTTAACAAGCACTTCTGTCACATTTATATGCCAGGCACTATCCTAAGCACTTTACAAATATTAACTCAGTTATTCCTCTCACAAAACTATGAGCAAGGTGCTGGCTCATTTGTCAGATGGGGAAACTGAGGCACATGGAAGGTAAGTAATTCATCATCTCAAGAAAGGACTTATGCCATCCAGTATGATCATTAGAAGGGCTAATCCTGAGATTATATCCTTCCTAGTATTTTTAATACAAAAATATCCTTTCTGTTATGAAATGGGAGTGACCAGAAGATTCTTTTGGTCTTCAATGGCAAAATAAATTAGGCACACTATGTATGTCACTAGCATTTGTTTAAAAGAATTGAGCCCTTAGGTCCCCAAGTCTAGGAAGTACTCTGAGTGCTGGTGTTGGCACTGGAGAGAGGGCCCAGGTCAGCCAGGCTCCTCGGGTGGCCAAGGATGGGCATGACAGCAGCACTCCCCTGTCGGTACCCAGAAGACACCCCAGTTATATTCACAGGGCAAAAAGCTCCAATCAAAGTGGAGCGTAAGGTCAGACGTGGGTGTCATGACACTCCTCAGTGCCACAGTCCCGCTCCTCTGTGGACAAGCTCACCCCAAGCTGGGACTCTCTGTGCTTCTCTTCCCTTCTCCTTGTCCCTCTTCATCCCAATGAGATAATCTCAGCCTCATCCACCGTGACCACCTGGATAAGGACTGTGCTGGGCGTGGGCTGGGACACTGGGGAGATGGCTTTGCCATCAGAGGTTCCAAGGTACCGTGATACTTGCTGAGCATCTTGGGGCTGAGGACGGGCTGCTTCCCAGTCCTACGTCCCCTGTGGTGTGAACTCAAGTGGTCCCTTGACCTTGTCTCCCTGACCCACTGCCCACCTGCTGGGTAAGAGACACCACTGTCCTCACAGGGGTTCTCCGAGTCTCTCAGCTGAGAAGCATCAGGAGAGAATCAACTTTGATAGAAAAATCAGTGCAATGAAGAATCTGGAGTGATGAAATCCAAGTTGGGCCTCATGAATCAGATCTTAGCATCTCTGCCCAGAAGACTTCCTCTACTGATGAACCTGAGATGGCCTGAAGGAAAGCACGTGACAGAGGCAGTGAGACACACTTTACATCTTATAGTCACTGGAGCAAAATCAGTTAAATCCAGATCCTCAGACTGCCATAGATGAGACGTGTGTGTCGATCTCATCCACAGTTGCCTTTAAGATCAAACCGGTCACTTGGCCTTTTCCATCAGGGCCACTGACACAGGGACAAGAGCCGACGGCTGAGATGGACTAGGAGGCACAAGAGTATGGCATGGAGAGGAGGGAGGATGGGGCATGTCCATCCCATGGGCAGAGGCAAGGGCCTAGGACACACTTCTAAACATCCTTTTCCTGGTCAACTGGTAACCATCCAATGAGAATCCACCCATATGCTCTCAGGGAGCCCTGCACTACCCCTTTGCAGCATTCACAACACAGGTGTATCCGGTTAGTCACAAAATGTCACTCTATCCTACCAGGTGAGGGAGCGGGGTGAGGTCTCCCTTGCTCAGGGCTGACTCTTGGGTGTGGGACACAGGGAAGACCTGTCCAGCCCTGTGTCAGTGTCCGGGTTAGTTCCCTGGCCTTCAGGGCCTCCTGGGAGATGGGTGTGCCCAAACAAGTGACTGATGGACCAAATCCCAGAGGAACAGCTGGCGCTGCATGTGGACAGGAGAGCCCTCCATTAGGGAACCCTACGTGGGACCCAGAGGACTCAAGGTGCTTGTATGTGGCCAATGGACATGGCACTGAGGGACACTGAATGCCACATTGGAAAAACAGTTCTCTTTGTCACTATCTTTGGTTTGTCTGACTAAGGCAATGAGAATGGCTCAGAGGACAGCCAGGGTTCTGGAGCTCCCCCAGAGCATGAACTCCAAGGACGGGCAGGCAGAGGTGACCTGGAGAAGGGCACGGTTTTTGTTTTGAGGTAGTGATATAGTTGTTCTGGAAAAATTAACTGTAAAATACATAGGAGGTAAATTAAGGCACAGGGGTACCTGGAAGTGGTACAATCTGAGAAGGCGGCTCTCAGACCCTGGTCTCAGGCTCAGTGCCCTGCACCTTGTTCAGCTCGATTCCTCCCCATGTGGCTCGGTCAGGAATCAAAGGCAGGAAGAGTGAGGGGAAGTCAGAGAGCTGCCCCCACACTGAGTGCTCATCACAGAGTCCTGAGTGAGCGCCAGTGAGATGGGGCCACAGCTCTGGGCTGAGCTCCCGGCCCCAAGTGCAGAGGGAAGCTTCGAGGTTACCCCGACTCTACCCCTGCTTTGGGTGTGCACATCCACCAGTGTGAGGAAGAGTATGTTCCACCTCCCTAGGAATGCTTTTTTTAACACACACATTCACACACACACACTCACACAACACCCCCCCCCCCCCCACAGACACACACACACACCCTTATGCAGATCCCTGGGGTCTATGGTAAGAATTCCATCCACAGGAGCAAAGCCCACCCTGTGCTCCATCCCAGCCCTGCCCCCTGGGACCTCAGGGCCCTGTCCCACCTCTGGGTGCACCACCTTGCAAAGCGCCTTTAAAAATCATGCTTTTTCTTTGTGTGGCTTCTCTGTAGCACTGAGTTTCATGGTAAGATGGCGGGGAGAAGTTCTCTCTCTTAGACAGCTTTAACGAGAGAGAACTCACACAGTACACAGCTCACCCATGTAAAGTGACAACTCATGGTTTAGGATGATCACAGACATGTGCAGCCATCAGCTCCACAGCCAATTTAGCACATTTTCATCACCTCGAAGAAACCCTGTGCCATTTAGCTATGGCCCCTCGACCCCTCCCTTCCCTAAGGGACCACTGACCCACTTCCCATCTCTATGGATTCCCCTATTCTCAACTTTCACATGAGCTGAATCATATATAAAAGGTGGGCTTTTGTGACTGGCTTCTTTCATTTGGCACAACGTCTTTCAAGGTGAGACATTCTCCCTCAAGGGGACCTTTACGAAATATCTCCACCATCACAGCACAGCCCACCGGCCATTCTGACCCACCATGTGGGGACAGAGTGAATGTGGCTCATCTCTCTGGAGCCCCCAACTGGGAAAAGCAGAGGAGCCTCTGGTTCCCAAGGACATTCTCATAGGACACATGCCACCAGGCCCCGTCTGTCCCAGAAAGATATTCTAAATGACACATCATGTGAAGGGAATGTCCTCACACAGAGGAAATGATTAAACCCTGGGGCTTTTGCTCCCAGGAGATGGGCAGTGGGCCTGCCCTGTACCCCTCACAGCCCTGCCCAACAGGTGCCTGGGGGGAAATGCAGGGCGACCTGCACAGGGGACCATTTGGGAGGGGGCTGAGGTGGGTGCAGAACACCACTGAGAGAGGATGGGTGGAACAAGGAAAAGAGACAAAGCTGAGAACAGAGGGTCTATTCCCGCTGGACGTCTGTGAGCAGCGCCCTGGACACAGACACAGCTGCTGTGAGAGCTCCAGTGCAGATGCGTGCTGGAAGGGGTCACAGCTGGAACAGCTGTGCAGGTGTTAAGGCCCCGCTCCTCCCGGGCACATGCCAGCTTCCGCAGCACCTACACTACGCAGCGTCTGCACGGGTAGGGGCGCACGTGAGCCCTGGAGAGGGGCTCTCCCAACATGTGCTGGAGGGGCTGGAGCACGTGACCCGGCCTCTTGGGCCTCAGCTTCCTTGTCTGTAAATGGCATTTTGCAGCTGTCTCCCCACACTGCGGGCTAGTGCAAACTGGCTGAAACCATGGAGGTGAGTGTGAAGCTCTGGCACCACGGCCAGCACCACCCAACAACTGGTAGGACACTGTTCACCCAGGAGGCCCACAGCCTAGTGGAGACAGATGCAGAGGCAGCCCGTTACAATGCAGGATGATGCCCCGCCCAAGTGGGCCAAGCAGCCGGGACTGGGGCACGGAGTCCTGAAGGGAGAGGTGGATGTCACTGGTGACCTGGCCACAAGGTCACCAAGCAGCTCTCCGGAAGGGGAAGAGTACACGCTGAGTCCAGAGGATGCTGGAGCACCAGTGAGGGTTTCAGAAGGCTGGGGAGCCATGCACGAGGTGAGGGACAAGGAGTGGCAGGAGATGTGAGCCTGAGACAGAACTGATCGCTGGGCCAGTGTGGAGGCCTCCAGGCCCCGCTCAGTGCAAAGCTGGGATTCGGCAGGAATCATGGACACAGCCAGCGCCTGCCACCCTCCCCCTACTCAGTGTGCAGAGAGCATCAGGGAGAGCGGGCGCTGCACCCACACCCAGGGAGACCAGGCCTCCTGGGCAGGGAGCATCGCACCCCATCCTGGCCTCAGGACAAACACTTGTCAAGAGCAAAGGGGTAGGTGAGGGCTCAAGCATTTCCCTTCATAAAGAAAACTCTAAGCGGCTCCCAGCTTCCAGGTGGCAAATGCTCAGAGGCGATCACCTTGAAACATTAGCAACACAAGTGGAGGGAGGGCCTCGGTTTCCCTTCATCTCCGTCTACAGTACAGGACTTCCCACCACCCCTGCAAGTCCCTGGGTCACCATCCTCCACACCACAGACGGTGCAGCTGGCTGGTGTGGTCTCAGACAAAGGTCTCTAAGTCGTGTGGCCGACAGTGACCTGTGTGGAGCTCGCTCTCTGGGCCCCGGGTCGCCAAGCTGGAAAATGGGGGCGGGGCCTGGGCTAACACTCTGGTTCTCAGCCCTCAGTCTACACTAGAAATCACTGACACGCCTGG